AGATAGATAGATAGATAGATAGATAGATAGATAGATAGATAGATAGAATAAAATAAACTACTTGTACAACTATTCCTACTTCACTGTTTTTCACTTCTTGGGGGCCTTCAGGTTGTAAATTTGTAAATACCCTGTATATGACAATATTTTAAACCCCCTGTTTCTGATGTGGCTTTTGGTTTTGGTGTACCAAAGACTTTCAGGGGTCTCTGTTTCTCCACTGTTCTGAAAACTTTCTGGAACTTCTCTGGCGCTCTGACACATTTCTATGCCATCTTTAGTCGTGTGCGAAGGTGTGCACATAATATATTTCCCTTTATTATTTCATTGAACATTTTAAAGGAGGCTTTCTGTGTTTGTAGTCAGGTGAGTCAGATCTTCCCCTGCTGCCGTCAAAGAGAGCTGAAAACGTCTTCATGGTTCCTCAGGGCATTCGGCCTGTGGTGCAGCTCACAGCTGTGGAGGTATAAACCAACGTTACGCACCACTGACCTGATCCACACCATGTCTGTTCTGACCACCTCTTCTGTGTTTGTGCATTTGATTCGTTTGTCTTTTAGATTCTTGCATGGGGTCTGAGAAACATGAAGCCTTTCCAGCTGGCCGCTGTGTCTTCACCCAGTCTCGTGGTGGAGTGTGGGGGGCAGAGGGTGGAGTCAGCGATCATCAGGAATATGAAAAAGAGCCCCAACTTCCCCAGCTCTGTCCTCTTCATCCAAGTGGTAATTAGAAACATACTGTATTTAAATTGTAAAAAAGAAAAAAAATGATAATATATTGTATAAAAAAATTGTTGGAATTTGACAAATCTTTTGAGCTTCTTCCTAATGGTGTCAAACTGTCTCTACTCTCCATTCAGCTCCTTCCAAAGGATGAGATGTACACCCCTCCCATCGTGCTGAAGGTGATTGACCACCGTCCGTTCGGCAGGAAGCCTGTGGTGGGTCAGTGCACCATCACGTCTCTGGAGGAGTTCAGATGTGACCCGTACGTCGTCGTTTCGGAGGGAGCCAGAGCCTCAAAGAGTGAGAGACCACATTGAAAATGGCTCACTGCAAATGATTTTGCACCACTGAAAAAGAAGCAAGTCCTTATTTTAATATTCTTTCATTGGACAGTGGCTCTGATGATGGCTTCACCTCATAAAGATGTCTCTATTACCATGGAAGAGAAGAGACCACTGATTGAAGCTCAGGTGTGCGGCTTTTATTGCTAACAGTGCTGATCCACATTTGACCTTTAAGTCAAATATGACCAACATTGTTGCTCTGGATTACAGTTTTTGTACAGCATGTCAGCTGCTGTCAACAAAATGGCTTCCCTTGATTCCTTATTTGTATGTATGAATATTTGTTAACGCTTTTCTAATCCACAAAACCAATGACACCGATGGCTGAGAATCAAGACTTTAAGGTCGTCACCATGTTATTATTCTTCATGCGAACCGCCACTGTGAATGTGATTTAATCTCATTTATCTGAAACTGTTTTAATGAGCACATTTAATCATTTCCGTCATGGCAAGGGCGTAACAACATGTAAATCAGCAAATGACCCAACACAGCTGGCTGAACATGAACTCTCTCTGTTTTTGTTTTTAAATCCTCTTGTCCTAAGTTAAGTTGTTAATTACGATGTTTAAAACAAATTAAGGAGAACACATTGGATGTCCTGTAAAGAGGTACTTAAGACAACTGAGACATTTTGTAAGACTTCTAACAGCAAGTCAGTTTTGTCTAGACTACGCTAAAAGCAATGCCAGAAGAATATTATCCCATACGTTAGTGTTCATGGAAACCACTTTAGTCTTTTCCCTTATCAAACCTAGATATTTTTAATGACTAATATAAAACAACCTATTAGAACTATTAGTCTTTGTAGTTTTCTGTTATCTTGGCAGCAATTTAGAACAAAAAAATACAAAAATTCACTTTATTTTTTATAATGTCCAATTAAAAATATGTATGTTTCTGTAGCAGCATGGCTTTTTCTCTGCAGCATTGTTGCCACTAACATGAGTCTCCACAACGTAATGCTCTTATCCTCGTCATAGCAAATAGTGTTTGCAAGGTACATGCCTACATATGCAATTGTTGAAAGAGCAGGATTTTTTCTGCACATTTAAAAAAAAAAAAAAAAAAAGAATAATTCCTACCATGTTGGTTCAAATTTAAAAATGTCTATTGTTACGCCCTTGTTTCACAAATCTTCTGCCAATCACAAAACTGCATTGATCATCTTTAATTCACCTCTCCACGAGCTTTGCAACCCACTTAGAGCTTCTTGCAAACAGTCGAAACAAAGTGCGTCGTCTGCGCTTCACTTTTGTCTCCGACTGTTCATGTATTTGTTGTTTGTCACTATGTTGACACTTTCTATCTATTTTTTTGGTCACGTCGCAATCGTCCCCAAAGCCCGTAGAGAAGGTGAGAGAAAACCAGATAAAGGAGATTTTTGTTTTGCATTGTAGGTGTTATAGTTCTCTAAATGTCTTAATGCAAAACACTTACGTTTTAGGAAAAAGAGACGGTCGATTGGTGGAGTAAATTCTACGCTTCGGTTGGAGACCAGGAGAAATGTGGCCCTTACCTAAAGAAAGGCTACGACACCCTCAGAGTGAGCGAGCTTTATTCCTCCAAATAACCTTTTACCAAGGTTCCCCAACTGTTTACAGCTGAAAAACACTCGTGGCTGCAGGTGATACGAATGTGAAATTTCAGGTGTACGACCGCGAGCTGGAAGACGTCCCAGAATTCAACGGGTTGACCGACTTCTGCAACACCTTCAAACTGCAGCGAGGCAAGAACGAAAACGGGGACGAAGATCCGTCTGTGGTTGGAGAGTTCAAGGTACCACTCAGAACATCACAGATTACAAATGACCACAAATTATCTGGATTTCCTTCATTTTAGGTGGGATTTTTTTTCACCTGCAGGGTGCGTTCAAGGTGTACCCCCTGCCTGATGACCCCAGTGTTGCTCCCCCACCCCGCCAGTTCAGAGAGCTGCCAGAAAGTGGACCTCAGGAGTGTCTTGTCAGGATTTATGTGATTCGGGGAATAGACCTGCAGCCTAAAGACAACAACGGCTTGGTAAACAAGAATCTGGGTTGCTAACAAACATGCTTATTGTATCCATGGCTCATTCCACATTTTCTCTTTAGTGTGATCCATACATAAAATTATCAGTTGGAAGAAATTCAGTGGACGACAGAGACAATTACTTACCCAATACTCTTAACCCTGTGTTTGGAAGGTAACTCTTAAATATACAACTATTTTTAATGTGTTCTGAACGCCCATGTGGTATTACGCTTTAATGTTCAAACCCTTCCTCGTGTTGTTTAGGATGTTTGAGATGACGTGTTTCCTGCCCCAGGACAAAGACCTGAAAATCTCAGTGTATGACTTTGATCTCCTGACTCGTGATGAGAAGATAGGCGAGACGGTGATCGACCTGGAGAACCGCTTCCTGTCTCGATATAACGCCTACTGTGGCCTTCCACAAACCTACTGCATGTGAGTACATCTGGTAAATCAGAGGGGAAATCAGAAATGCTCTTAAGGATTGATTTTTAATCCTCTCTTATCATCTCAGTTCTGGTATCAATCAGTGGAGGGATCAGCTGAAGCCATCTCAGATCCTTGAGAACTTGGCTCGTCTAAAAGGACTGTCCAAACCCAGGTCTGAAGACAATGGCACATCACTCACTTTCAGTGGGAAAGACTACACGCTGGCTCAGTTTGGTAAGACTTTAAAAAACAGATGTGTACGTGTAGCTTTTTCACCTACATTTCTAGAACTGTGCCGCTCGGGGTGGCTGCATGTTGGAGAAGCTCTGATTCATTCTGGGATTTTGCTTTTGGAAACTTTAATTCCTCTTTTTCTGGATGTAAATCACTTTTGTTGGATGATTGTTTCCTCTGGTATCAAATGCTGTGCAACTCGAAGGATTTTTACTGACATTTTTTTTTTAGTTTTGGGCATTTGTTATGAAATGTAACCATGGCAACAAAGGTTTTTTTTTTTTTTTAACAACTGGGAGCAGCTGATTAACGTCTCAAAAGCGCAAATGATATCTCAGCTACAGCCCCAAATCTCAAATGAGTTGAAGAGAAGGTGCCGTAGATGCATTCCCGTCTCCCTGCCGGCTGTGCTCGAGTGCCTGATGGCGGAGATCCTGGGAATGGCAGGAACTGCAGCTCGTAACAGCAGAAGGACGAGGATCGTCCCCTGGCACCTGCAGCCGGCTGTCTGCAGCGACGAGGAGCTCGACAGGCTGCTGGGAGGCGTGGCCATCGTTCTGGGAGGAGTTCTGCCTGGCATTCAGGCGGTCCTGCAGCCCAGGGGAACCGAGAGGGCAGCCGAGTCCGGGTGGATGGATTGGATGGCATCTGAATCCAGTTTCTTTGGATCCTCTGTGGGACAGACCTTTACAAGAGATCCTTCCTGCCTACAGCCATCAGTATATATAACATCTCTTAATAAAACGAGGATAACGAGTTACAGCAACATTTCGTTTCTCTTTGGGATTAATAAAGAATTATTGAATTTAATTTTTTACACTGCCTGTGACCTGGTGATAAAATGTTTTTTGTTTTTTTTAATCTAAAGAAACTAACAAAGAAATCCATCAGCATCTGGGTCCTCCTCATGAGCGGCTCTGTCTGCACGTGCTCAGAACACAGAAACTTGTCCCTGAACATGTGGAGACCAGGACACTTTACAGCACCTTCCAGCCAAATATCTCTCAGGTTGGATGTCACAAACTCCATCCATCATCATGTCTACTTACAAACACTCTTGTTTTTCTTAAATATAAATTATAAATGGTTTCTTTTAGGGACGGCTTCAGATGTGGGTGGACGTGTTCCCTAAAAGCATTGGACTTCCTGGTCCTCCCTTCGACATCACACCACGCAAACCTAAAAAGTAAACACGGTCTCCTCCTTACAGTTCACATTTCGATGTCGCTGAGCTAACATCAGCTGTCTAAACACACAGGTACTTCCTGCGGGCTGTCGTCTGGAACACCACAGAAGTGACTCTGGATGAGACCAGCATCACAGGAGAAAACATGAGTGACATCTACATCAAAGGGTTTGCTTTCTTTATGCACAATTTTCCTCAGATTCAAACATTTCTCATTCAAAACCATGAATTAAAGGCCTAGAATTCCTTGAAAGGATGTGTGTCACCCACCACATTTCATGACAGAGATTTAAACTGAAACCATCTTATGTTGAGAAATGACAAGAGTTATAAGCATTTTGGCCCAAACTTAAAAAACACTATTCACTTCAATTCAATTTATTTATATAGCGCCAAGTCACAAGATAAGTTATCTCAGGGCTCTGAACAGAAACACTCACATACATAAAAATGTGTTAATAACTTTATTTATCTAAGGTAGCCAGCAGATTACGTTGAGTCTTCATTTGGGCCCGGTCTCCCATCCTGAGCTAGCACAAAGGCAACAGTGGAAAGGAAAAACTCCCTCATAACAGGAAGAAACCTCCAGCAGAACCAGGCTCAAGCGGCCATCTGTTTCAACTGGCTGGGTTTGAGAGAACAGGAAGGAGAAATGGACACAGAATGGCAGGTCCAGAATGGAGGCAAGCAGGTCCCTCTCTAGGAGGAAAGACAAAAAACAATTTAGAAATACTGTAATTACAAATACAAACTATTCATTTGTATTCATTTGTAACTATTAATTTGATGAAATAAGGTCAATTTGTCCTCAATTAGACTAAGACTATAGCAGCATAACTAAGGGATCAATCAGGAAACCAAGCCAACCCTAACTATAGGATTTATCTAAAAGGAAAGTCTTAAGCCCAGTTTTAAAACTGGACAATGTGTCAGCCTCATGGACAGAAACTGGAAGTTGGTTCCACAAGAGAGGAGCCTGATAACTGAAAGATCTCCCTCCCAGTCTGCTTTTGGAAACTCTAGGAACCACAAGTAAACCTGCAGCCTGAGAGTGAAGTGCTCTTTTAGAAAATATGGAACAATTAGATTTGTAATATAAGATGGAGCTATGCTGTTGAGAGCTTTGTAAGTTAGAAGTAAAATTTTTAATTCTATTCTGAATTTAGAGAAGCTAAAACAGGAGAGATACAGTATGAACTCTCTATTATCTCTATTATTCACAACCATGTGATTTAATTCTCAGAGAGTGTTGTGAATGACTCACAGCCACTACCACATTAAATTTTAGTTCAAAATTGGTCAATTGGCTGAGTTATAGCTGTTTTATGTTGGCTAATCTGTTAGCTGTGGCAGTCTGCTTGACTTTGTTTTATTAAAATCTGCTCAGTGGCTTATGAAATATTTTTCTAACAACAAAAACAAAAACAAACAAGGTTGTCTCCATTAGTTAATGCTAAAGATCTTGTGCAACGAGTAGCATTTGGAGCGTGTGTTAATGACTCTCAGCTACTACCACACCTAATTTTAGCACGATCTGTAAAACGGACTTGATTTATAATCATTTTTGTGTTTACTATGGTCGTTTGTGCCGTAGCAGTCATCTTGAATTGGGATGGCTTCAAAAGTTATTTAGCTGTAGATGTAGGCTACATCTAACGAATACCTTCAAAGAAAATCTCTTCAGTGATTTGAGATGTTTTGCTAACAGACACGTGCACACAGGCAAAAACATTGCCTACCTGTTAGTCGTGGGTGATAAGACCCAACTTGTTCCTGTTCCAGCTGGATGCCAGGTATGGAGGAGGACAAGCAGAAGACTGATGTCCACTACAGGTCTTTAGATGGAGACGGTAACTTCAACTGGCGCTTCGTCTTTGGCTTTGAATTCCTGCCAGCCGAACAACTTTGCCTCGTCTCCAAGAAGGTAAGGCTTCCATCGTTTCAGTCAAACGTTCATGGCTGGAGTTGTTGAGTGAATTCATCTGAAACACGTTTGCTTGTGTTCAACAGGAACACTTTTGGAGTCTTGACAAAACGGAGTTCAGGATTCCTCCCAGGCTGATTGTTCAGATCTGGGACAACGACAAATTCTCACTGGATGATTACCTTGGTAAAAAGATATCATTATGGAGTCAACTGTTTGTAATTATAAGTTATCTGGGTTTAACACGCTGTGATTCTAGGCGTGCTGGAGCTGGATCTGAACAAGCTGGTTCCTCCTTCCAAGACTCCGGAGAAATGTTCTCTGAAGATGATGGATAATCAGGACATTGTTGCACTGAACAAGTTGGACAACTCAAAGTCTCTGTTTGCCCAGAAATCTGTCAGAGGCTGGTGGCCTTGCTTCTTCGAAAAGGATGGGCTCAAGGTCCTGGGTGTAAGTCTGAACACAAAATACACAAAGACACTACTAAAAGATTTAGTGCACCAGTCAAACATAAAATGTTGACAAAACTTATCAGCACTCAATAAAAATTTAATTTCAATTAAAGAAATTGCATTTACTATGAAAATGCAGTATGAATGCTTATTGCTGAAGAACTTGCTGAAAAACAGCTGAAATTAGATTAAAAGCAAAGACTGGATTGTAGATGAATTTGTAAAAGAACAAGCCTTAATTAGCAGAAGAAAGCAAAAATAACACGTTTTTGCTGAATTAGGTATGAATTAGCAAAAATTAGTACAAAAATTAGGAAAATAGTTTTAAAAAAGCTTAAATTAGCAAAAAAAAATAGCTGAAACGGCAGAAAGAAGCTTAAGCTACCAGAAGGAAGTGGGAAGAGCTGAAATGAAATTTAAAAAATGTGGAATTAGCTGAAAAGGCTAAAATTACTGTAGCACAAAAACAGCTAAATAGTTGTTGAAATAGCAGAAAAAGCTTAAATTAGCAGACGAAAGCAGAAAGTTTGCCCAATTAGGCTGAAAGAAACAATGAGTGTCAATTATCTGAAAAAAGCTGAAATGATCAAAAAACAGCTGAAAAGCAGAAAGAAGCTTAAATTTCCGAAGGAAGTGGAGAGAGGACACTTTTGCTGAATTAGGTGGAAAAAAGTTGAAATGAGTGCAAAAAATGTGGAATTAGCAGAAAAAGCTAAAATTAGCATAAAAATGTCTAGTAGCTGAAATGGCAAAAAAAAAAAAAAAGCTGAAATTTGCATAATAAAGTGAAAAGAGCATAACAAGCTGAAATAAGCAGAAATGAGTTAGAAGAAGCACAAAAATGTTTAGCAGAACGAATCTGAAAGGAGCACAAAACAGCTGAAAAAAGTCAAGTCAAGGTTCTTATATTGTCATTCACATCTCATGTGGTACAAGTGGAAGGAAACTGTGTACGCAGGGCCCCAGTTACATCCAACAAAAGTATAAATTGTAAGGAAAAACAGTAATAATATCTAAGATATGAACTAAGAAATATGCCAAACTAAGAATACACTGAACACAAATAGCACAAAAACAATACGCCAAACAACAGCAGCACGAACATGAGTCTGTGTGAGCAGATGAGTACGAATTGAACAGCAGCATGAAATAATCAAGAGCATGAGATCAGCAGCACATAGCTTCAATCAAGTGGCATTACAATGTTTTTTTTTCTCACAGTGATTATTCTGGTTAGAGATTCATGAGTCTAACAGCTTCAGGGTAGAAGCTGTTCCTCAGTCTAGAGGTTCTACACCTAATGCTCCTCAACCTCCTGTTTGTGATGGTGGGGAAGCTGAAAAACAGCTGAAAATAGCTGAAAGTAGCTGGATAAAAGTTTAAACTTGCACAAGGAAGCTGAAAGAAGCTGAACCAGAACAAAATATGAAAGGAGCAGTAAAAGGTTATAAACAGATTTAAAGATTTAAAGGATGTAAAATGAGCTCAATTCATTTTCTATGAGGAAAAAAAAAGTCAGAAAAGGGTAAATATTTCAAAAAGCTAAAGTTGCACCAATACCAAAAGTCGTAGCAGGATTGTCCTGAAACAGCTGAACGTTTTGATTTATGATTTGTTGAAATAGCTTGAAAACTGAGGGACGAGAATTGCGCCAAAAAACGCATTGAAGAAAAATGGATCACAATAGTGTGAATACTCCATAAACATTCACACTATTAACGGTTTGGCTTTAAAGTAATTTATTCCTTAAACTTGTTCTTAATACTTTGTTTTATTGTCTTTTTTTATATATTTGGCTAGTTGTGTTTTTGTTTTAATGGTGTTATGGATTTATTGTACAGTAGTTCAGCTGAAGTCGTTTTAAATGTGCTCTATAAATAAAGTTGATTTGATCTGCAAAACTTGGCAGAATATTGCTGAATGGATTGCGCTCAGTTGGATAAACGTCCTTGCTGATGATGCGTTGCTGTATGTTTCTCATGTTTCTCTGTCCTGTTTTAAAGGGAAAGGTGGAGATGAGTCTGGAGATTGTGACTGAAGCTGAGGCAGATGAGAGACCAGCAGGGAAAGGAAGAGATGAACCCAACATGAACCCAAAACTGGACCCTCCAAAGTACAAAACCAAAGCAAAATGAAACCAAACCACACAAGTGTCTGTAATCTGCTTATCTAACAAATCTGTTGTCTGTTTCACCCTAAAATCCACCAGCCGCCCAGACACGTCCTTCTTTTGGTTCACAAACCCATGCAAGACGATGAAGTTCATCGTGTGGAGAAGGTTCAAGTGGGTGTTCATCGGACTCATCATCCTCACCATCTTGCTTCTCTTCATCGCCATCCTGTTGTACTCTTTACCGGTGAGAACAGATAAGAAGGAAACCACTAAACGTAGTTAAATGTTCTGAAATCTGTAAATTCAAAAAAGTTCAAGACAAAAAAACAACTGGACGTTATTTTTACCGGAAGATGTTTCACTTCTCATCCGAGGAGCTTTCTCAATTCAAACGGAGAGCGTGGGGTTCGAGTTATGCTGAGCTAGATGCATATGCAGATTGCCCTTTCAATCCTCACAATAGGATAGTTCGTTAGGGTCTTTGGTAGTTGGACTCACAGTGGAGCCACTCTGGTCACATGGATGAAATTCCTGATAGGTGTGAAAATGAATGGGCATTAGTCAGCTGCATTGTAAGTTTTAGAAAGTTGAAATCTGGTCTTGTACTTGAAGATGAAAGTTTCATAGTTTTAGTCTGGACAACAGAGCTGCAGCAACATGATCTTTTCTTTCTTTTTTCAGAACTACATCTCAATGAAGATTGTGAAGCCCCTTCAGTAACGTGGAGACATTGCTGCAGCACATTAAGGACCACCTGAACTGAACACAAGTTTAAACTGCCAATGTGCAGGGTTTTTTTTCTGCCTCGTTTATAAGTGGGTGCTTGAAAACTTGCACTATAACACAAAAAAATGTTCTTTTCTACACAATCTCACTGTGACCAATGTGATTGCTTTTAAGACATGGACATCTGACGTGTTTCTAAACCTCTGCTTGAAATCACAGAATGTAACCGAACACAGACTTGTAGTTTTTTAACTTTGCGGAAGGTGTATGTTCTGTCTTCTGTGGGTTTTAGTTGTTACTGAACTGAATCTTGCAGCTAGCATGTGATATATTTGTGCACACGGATAACGGAGGTTAAGGTGTTTTTACAAACAGGCGTTACGAGGTGGGTTTCTACTTTTCCTCATCCATGTAATTGTTTTAAATGAAACGTGTTAAAATGTATACGTTATGTGTTTTATAAAGTGTTCAGATATTTGAAATATATATAAAAATCAATGGAAGTCTAACTGTTTTGCCTTATTTTCTTCTCCACAGACGTTTGTGTTTAAAGGGCAGAATCGGTGCTTGTGAGCTTGACACTTTATCACTTCCACACAACTGTAAAAACACACGCACACACAATCAAGCAAAATAAAAAGTGATGTATTTTCAACATTTAATATGCAGTTATGTCCAGGTCCCAGCTGTACCTCAAACTTTACATTTAATGATAAAAACAAAGAATTTGAACCTTGATGAAAGACGTGCAAATGACAATTTAATGGAAAAACGGTAGTTTATTTAAAAATGATTTATATTAAATATGAAAACACAAAACTGAGTTTGGGCTTAATGCAAAGGTTTTCACTGAAAAATGAAAAACAAAAGCTTTTCGTCAGTAAAGATTGTGTTAAGCAGTTTGTCCATCTGGTCTTTTCCATAAAATGAACAGAGCACTTCTTACACAGGACAAGATAACGGCAAGAAAATATATATTTTTTTAAAAGGCTACAAATCATTACAACTAAATGAGCAAGATTAAATTTCAGATTACTGTGGCTCCCTTCTGCAAAAATCCCAACAGTAATCTGACCTGGGTTTCATTTCTTATTTCCACTTTCCAGACTCAAAGTACCATATTTTTTAAAAGATTTTCTGTCAAAACGTCTTTAAAATTTACAAAAATTTGTATAGTTTAAGTTTTATCTGATGGTGCTTTTTTTTTTTTTAAACCAAAGATGTACCAAACCGTCCGTGACTTATATTCATCCTTATTGCCTTCACATGCATCCTGTAGGGATAAATGGTTACCCACTGCTTTAAGAGATACATAGGGTTTTATTAAACACGATTCTGTTTAATGACAGTTTAAAATAATCTATATAAAAGTGTTTATCTAAGCTATTGTTTATCAGAATTTTACATTTCCCTCTGACTCCAAAATGCAAAAAAATAATTTTCAAAATGTATTTAAGTCTTTATAAATTAGCTTGTTGTCGGCTAAACAATTGAATTTGTTACATTTTTCTTAAAGTTATAAATTGTACATGGTGTCCTTTAACTTTTAATTACTGAAAGTTGGAAATCTTAGCGGTAAAAGGAAGAAAATGTGGACGTCGAGTGATTACATTTACTTTCTTGTAAATTGCCAGGGAGAAAATATCCTGCTCCTCTGTGCAACATTTACAAGTTTAGAGTTTTAGTATTTAGAAACTCCCATAGGTGATGGTCTGTATGGAGGACGGAACATGTGACAAAATTAAATAAATAAATCATGAAACAAATAATTTAGTTGTGTATTTAATAATTTTATTGTGCATTTAATGATGTAATTATGTATTTAATAATGAAATGATACATTTCATTATTATGTATTTATTTATTTAATTTTGTCACATTCCGTCCTCCATATACAGTATCTGGACACAGTAGCGTGTTTTCTGACCTTTCCCCTACCCATCGAGACCTGGAAACTACTAAAATCAAATTCCATACTTTTCAAGACTGTATGCCTGTACGGTGAGGCACCCTGAGAAGAAGTGAAACAGCATCATGACACTAAAATCCCAAAATTGAATCTTCAATAATCTCAATAATCTCTTCAGGAAACAAGCTCTGCCTTATCACACAGACACCAGACCTGGAGCTTATCCAAGAAATTATTATTGTTTCTACGCCGTACAAGTGCTTGCTTTTGACATTTACATGAATTAAACTACATTTTCAGTCATTACACATAAAAATATGTGCAATATGATAAAAGTGCTCATGAGCTTATTAACAAAATAAAACAGTTTTGCTACAGTAGCTTCACATATTGCATCTTTAAAACAGGTAATTGGCTCCGTTCCTCTTCAGATAAAACAACTTCTACTGAAAGGTTACTGGGTTTATTCTTCCTCGGAGCTGTGATGTTTGCAGTGCTGTCTCAGGAAATCCTCCACCTCTCCTCTCCGTGCCAGGCTGTTGGCTTTGCCCTGGAAACGCCCGTTCTTCCCCACTCCCTTCCCTTCAAGCAGATCTAAAACCCTGGAGAGCAGAGACATGTACAGTACATTCAATAAACAGTGAAGTTTCCCCACTAGAGGCTAACTACCGTGCTTTCCACCGTACACGTCGCACCGCCGTATAAGTCGCATCAGTCCAAAAATGTAAAAAAAAAAAGGTGGAAACACATAAATATGTCGCTTTGCCGTATAAATCACATCTATTATGCGTCACCGCTGACCTCCCGGAAACATGGGTCGTGTTGTGCCAAAAATTGATTGGCCGCCAAATGTCGGCAGCGGGAGCATGCATGGGAGGACTTTAACAAGAATTTAACAAGAATATCGCTTAAAAACAATTGTTTGTTCGATGTTATAGCAAAGGTGTGTCTCAGTCTAACTTTTCCTTAATAAATTCACTTTAACGGTCAAATCAGCTGCATCTCACCTGGGCAGCACGGTGAAATGCAGCTGATTTGACATTTGCTCCAGGAGTTCTGGAGCAAGACAAAGCTGGATTAGTATGGCAAGTCAAGGGTCTCATTAATAGCCACTTTTACCTATTAATGAGGCACTTGGCTTGCCATACCACTCGAGGGCCCTCTAGCGGCTGAAAATGGTAGTGTTCAATATTTTCCATGTCAAAATGAATGAAATCATCAGATCTCAGCCAAAAATTGGGTAACAAATATGGGGAAAACAACTAATAAGCCGCTTTGCTGTATGTCACAGGCATGCTAATTTATGCAAAAAGGTGCGACTTATATGGTGAAAAGTACGGTGCATGTGTGGTCAGAAGCGTCGTGTACAAAGGGTGCATATGCACAAAAACGGGGCGTACGCCCTTTTTCATGCAAAACTTCAGCTGTATCAAGAATGAAATGATTGTGGAAATGTGCGCAGCCCCACACCAACTTCATGAGCTCTCTTACCGTGGCCCCAATTCAGACACCGGTCCACTGGGTCCAGCCAGGAGAAACAAACCAGGTCCCTTTTCCTCTCCAACAGTCAGGAAAACCAAAGTTTCCTGACAGAAAATAAAACGAGTGTAAAAAAAAAAACATATACCAGGCTGATGCCCAGAGTGACGCAGTCGATCAGCAGTCTCACCTCTGTGTTGATTTCATTGGCAATGATATTCATGAACTCATTATCACCCTCTTTTCTGTAGGAAAAGAAAATAAACATCACCGTTTGTGTGAAACACTTTAACTGGAGCTCGTCTAATATGCCTCAGTGTTTCTGACAAAGTCTGTGTCAAAAGTAAGAAATATTTGAAGCTGGTTCACGTCAGAAGAGCCACTGAACTCCAGCAGAAACTCATACTTGTGTAAACTGAAGAAGCTCCCACTCTGAGGATCGTTCTTAAAGTTCTGAGCAACCAGGACGGCCATATCACGAAGCAGGCTCAGATTAGCCTGAAAACAGTTTTATGGTGCATTAAATCAGAGCGTTGCATTTTGTTGAATCTCGATAGACAAGTTTAAAAAGCACCGACCTTCTGTAGCAGCTTAACAGACTTCTGCAACTTGTCAACGGCCTTGACATGCTCGTCTGCTCCCGTCCTGTTGAAACGAGATTAACTCACTTTGACTTTGTGAATGTTTTGAACTCGCACGGACGACGTTGGCTCTAGCTGTAGTTTGAACTTACTTTAGAAGAGACACCAGAGAACGCTCCGTGCTGTAGCTCTTCTCTGCGTATTTCAGTACTCGGCTTCCTGCCAGGAAGATCAAGTTGGTTTTGTTTTTCTTTCCTTTCTCAGTCCCAAGCAGTTTAATAACCTGAAACATTTCAAATGAGCAAACAAAAAGACTAATTTAGTTTCAAGCCTAGCCCTCCTTCAAGGAAAGTGCATCACCTGCATCACTTCATGCCAGAGTTTTAAACTAAGACAAACTGATGCTGAGGAAGGATGGAGCTTTCTCCATTTTGGTTCAACTTTAAAAACGATGATGTGCATGATCTCGCGAGATGTGTTAATACGCCTGTCACGATAACAAATGTTGCTGGGCGATTAATTGTCTCAGAAATTATTGCGATAAACGATAATGTTGTTTGAAATTTGACAATAATTTGTATTATTTAAGAAACGTTTAATTTGTTTTGCATGTAGTACCTTTTTTGACCATCACATGCCAGTATAAGACTGTTTGAACCAAAGGATGGATAGTGAGGGAGCGAGGAGCGTGCCTCTTTAAGAAAAATGGTAGGGAGGCCCTTTGACGTGACATGGGCTGTCTCTCCTTCCTTTATTCTGTTCTCAAAATGGCGGACGCTCGGTGTGGTTTGAGCTCTTTGGCATAGCATTTTTCACACAAAGCTTTTAATAAAAATTCAGTAAACAAGTTCTCAGCTTCTTTTTGCAGAGAAAAACTTTTGACACAAAGGCACGGGTTTCAACCGTGAATTTTGGAGCTTCAACAAGACAGAGTTTTTTTCCCCCGAGGTCGGCCTGTTAGCTTAGCTCGTAGCTTAGCTTCTCAGCTTAGCTGATTATAACTATCCACAAACATGACTTTGGACGTTTAAAATGGATTTTAAAGAGAAAAGAGAAAGGGAGGGGTCAGTGAAGAGCACCGGAGTTGAGTCTTTTGTCATCCAGTGTCTTCAGTAGAAAGAGAGACACGAAGAAATGATAAAGCCGATAAATGAAAATGAGGTAGATAATTTTCATTTATCATGCGATTAATTGATTTATGGTTTATTGCGACAGGCCTATGTGTTAATGCTCTAAGTAAATGTTGACGATAACTCTGTTAATCCCATACCAAAGTTTAGCTCAATATCAAGTGAACTGACTAAATTTGAACCATTTCCATGTTTGATAAGATTGATTAGCTGGGGCAGCCATCTTGAATTTGGTTGACTCTACAAGTAAATCAGTTGTAGATGTATGTATAATTTTACTTTGACAATTTCATTGAAATCTGGTTTATATGATAGGATTTGCAAACACACATTATTTGGTTTGTTATTACTTTAAAGGCATTAGAACTACTTATTTGCCTTTATTTGAGTGTTAAGATTTACCTGTAAGTGGCTGAGGTTAGACACGTGTGTGCCACAACACATGTTAGCATCAACGCCTTCTATATCAATGATCCGAATCGGTCCTGCATGGTCATCTGGCAGTCCGCGACTCCTCACCTGGTTGACACAAACACATGCAACTTGATTACTATACAACATATGGTTTGTGCAAAATATAATGTAGTTTTAAATGACTGAATAACGTACGAGTCAAATAATATCAACACAGCATGTAAGAGCTCTTTGAGTTCCAGTAAAACACAACAGGTGTATACACACCTTTTCCACAGCTGGATCATCTAAAGAAAGGAGTTTAACATTAACGGGAACGTGAGCTCTGATCTTCTCATTTACAGCTTCTTCCAGTGCCTGAAGCTGAGCTGGTTGTACAGAATGAGTGTCCAGCTCAATCGTGCTTCTCTGACAAGCCAAATCCCTTAGGGAAAAACAAGAACAGGTAAACGCTCAAACCTTAACGTGCACAGAGAAAATTATCTGTGCGCTGATGTACCAGGAAGTGGTCTTGTATCCAAACATTGTGTCTGCCAGAGCTGTGATCAAATGCTGACCTAAGAGACGAGGAAAAGAGAAGTGATTATGACATAGGATAAAGAATGGAACAAGTGTTCAGAGTTTAATCTCACCCGAGTGTTGCTGCATATGATCAAACCTCCTCTCCCAGTCCACCTTCACGTGCACCTCTTGACCCACCTCCAGAGGTAAGGTCACAAAGTGTAAAGCATCTGGTCCTTGTCTTGTTACCCTCAAAACAGGAACCTCTGCAATCAGTCCATGGTCATCTGGCTGTGAGACAGTGAAGAAAACACTGTACATATGCATAAAATATGTAGCATTCACTGTATAATGGTGGGATTTATTCACAGATGGGACCTGTTTAATGAAGAGCATGTTACCTGACCTCCCCCTTCAGGAAATAAGATCGTATCTTGGAGCTTAACATTAAAACCTTTGACAATTTCTTTCTTTCCGTCCACATCTTGTTTTAGTTCCGCAGGGCAGCAGGAAACGACTGAAGTGCTGAACTGGAAAGAGAATGAATGAAATAGGAAGTTGTCACCTAATATAACAACTTTTAAACAGCTAATTTATTGCATTAAAATGGGCGAAACAACGTAAATATATAGACTACTGTGGATATATGTGCACAACTTAAAGCTCTTTGAAAATAAAAGTTTTAAAAGCATGAACTGTGAAGTTAGCTGGAGCGCTAGCTACAGTTAGCAACTGCTGTGTTTAAAAGCCAAGCTAATCACTTCGACAGAAAATGCGGATATTTTTGTAAGATTTTTGTCACGTTTTATTTAGAAGAGTCATACCTCTTTCATATAACAGTCTCGCTGACACTGAAAAGCCATTCGGGACTGTTTTTAAGAGGAAACCGTGGCCACTAAAACACAGAGCTGCAGGCAATGACGTCGCCTGGAACGGGTCGCACCATGGTCCAAACTTAATAGCTTCGAGTTTTTGCTCTCTCCCTTCACAAACTCGAGCAAAACAGCAAAAATCTGTGTTGAACATCAAAATAGCATATGAACATATGAGTAAAATATAAGTGTATATATATATATATATATATATAAACCCAAGATATGGGAACAAGTCAAAGTACATGAAATACCTGTAAGTCACAGTCAGAGTCAGAGATTTATTTGTCATTCGTATCACATGTGGTGGAACGAGATTATGTGCACAGGGTCCCAGCTACATCCAACAATAAAATGTAAAAGAAAAACTGTAATAAGATCTAAGGTATTAACTAAGAAAAACATAACTAAATAATACACTAAGCACTAGTAGCATAAAAACATTACGTCCAACAGCAGCACGAACATGAGTCTGTGTGAGCAGATGAGCATGAATGAACACAGCAACATGAAATAAATCAGCAGCAACATGATGTGCTTTTTCACAGTGATTATCATTTATAAGTAGAAAGCACTGATGGAAAAAATCTGATCATATACATATAGGTGTGATACATCGAGGAAAGTTTACTTTTTTTAAAAGATAGCCTTAATACAAAAACAAAATAGAAATATTACTTCACATTTGCTATGTTCTCTGTACTTATATGTTTTCCATCACTTGGTATGGTATAAAGTTTATTCATTAAAAAAAAAAAAAATCCATAAACTATATAAAAAAAATACAGAGATTTAAAATGAAAGGCAGCAGAAAGAAAAAAAATATTATTATATCTGCCCCTTTTTTCAAACAATTAGTTCAATCATAATAATCTTCAAGTAACAGAACAAAACGAATAACTTTCTAATTTTTCTAACTCTAATACAAACACACTAAGCTACTTCATATATATATATTTAACAATTCAGCTTGCTTCATAAACTTACATAACATACTTCATAACATACTTCATGCTTAAACCAAAAAAGAAAACTAAAATAAATGAATGAATGAGTTGTTTCTGTTAGAAATTTAAACTTTTTGTTACGCCATTAAGTTTCCACATGAAGTGACTCCATATTTTTCTTCTAGTTTTTAAAAATCCTGTTCACAGCTTATTTATTAATGCATTTTAGATTTACAAAGACTTTTCAGCTATTTATTTGTAAGAAAAAAGACAACAGCTGTGTTTTTTATTAATCTTTTTGCTTTAGCTTGTTGTTGCTCCACTACCACCTTCTGATGTTACTGAAAAAGTTTATTCGAACATCAGCCACATAATCAGCTGTTCATTTGTTTAGGTTATTATTATTACTCCAAAACACAGAACAAATGTTGTTCAAACTTTTTTTATTAATAAAACATATCTTTTTTTTTTTTTTTTTGCAATACAAGAAATGCACACATTTGTTAAAAAAAAAAGTTTTTAGTACAACTTATTTGGCAGAAAATATTACGAACAGATTTAAAAACCATGTGATGCAGTTACATCTCCCTCGGACACAGAGGACAAGGTGTAGGATGGATCAGTCAGACTGTAGGAGAAGAAAACAGATAAACATCAATATGTACATTCAAATAATGAACATTACAACGTGGTAAATATTTCATGAATCCTACAACAATTAGTTCTTGTCATTGGTGATTATTATTCATATTATATTTTAAACGGAAGCTGCAAACAGCACTTACATCACTGAGATCGCCCATGTCTGGTGCTTCTCCTTTGTTACTGGAGGCCATTTCTTGGATCATCTGAAAGAGAAAAGACCTTGATGTAAATACAAATGCTTAATGCACTCAAACAATAACACATTGCTTTGCAAAGTACATTTATTTTGATCAAAAACAACCAGAGTTATTATAACTGGGCTCTGCAGCCACTCACATCCACGTATCTGTCGTACTCTTCCTTTCCCTCTTCTTCATCGTGCTCCCAGTCCCTCCAGTTCTCAAAGTCTACAGAAATCCAGCTGGGCTGCAGAAAGAAAAATAGCACATTGCTAACTCACTTACCAAATTAAATGTGCATGAATCTACGCCGGTGTTTGGTAATGTAGAAGAACTTGAGGCTGGTACTGAAACAGAAAAGCACATTTGACCTTTTCCGGGTCCTTCTGAAGACGAGGCCACGCACAGTCAGGCGTCCCCTTCCTCAGTAAGACGTTGATTGTGCGGTCGTAAACTCGTTCTCTGGAATCCTTGAAGGTGGTGAAAAGTTTCAAAGATGTAGACTTTTAGTAACAAAACAGCTACATGTGTCGCTTTACACAGCTATTCACACTCCAGTTATGTTGTCAAGTTCCAAAAACGCTGAATCCTTACGTGAATTTGGACTTTGTCGTAAAAGTACAGTTCATTGTAGAAGACGTCGTCTGTGTCGTTTTTGCAGCTGTTCCATCGACACAACAGGACTGTCATAAGTCAGTGGATGGGTTGTGCAGATACAAAGAGTTGTATTCAGGAGATGGCACTAAACTCACCATAAAATCATTTTGTCCGGCTGGATGTCTACTTGTACGTCTTTAGGTTTTTGAACTGAGAGGTTGATAGTGACGTATTTCTTTCTGTCGTACCACAGTGCAATTGCTGGCTGACTGTGGACACATAAAATTACTTATTCTGAAATGTGACTACAAAAAGCTCAAGCAGATGTGTGGACGTTGTTACCTTTCATAATTCACATAGGCAGTACTTACCTCACCTCTGGCCTAACAATTCTGGGCTTGTTCATTCTGATTCTTTAAGAAATTTGAAAAGAGAAGGTCCTATAATGACTCTAAATCACAGAAAAGTAAAAAGCGCGTGGCTCCTTCGTTCAGCTGTGCGCACTAATACAACAGCAAAGCCCGGGAAGTTATATTTAGATCAGCTGGTATCAGCTGCTGGAGGCGTTTGTGCCACAGACCCCTCCTCTGACCTTTATTTAGGCTGTCAGTGGAACACTCGGGAAGGCAGATGCTCTTTCTGGGTTCTGCAAGCCTTCAACCCCCCCCCCCTGGTTTTTGCCCCCCCT